AATACTACCTTATACAGAACAGTGAATAGAGGACAATGAGTACTTCTGTACAGCAACACAAGTACTCATATTCTTTATTTTATCTATTAGTGAATTAGCTTATTAACTCATCTAATCTCTGGTCTATTAGCTAATCSTAACCGTGTGTCGGTTATGGACTGGTCATAGGACTGGAGGGCCAACATAAAATAAAGAATAATCATAATAAAACAAGTAAGACTGATACAATGTCGAACGAAGATGAAAAGGACGTAAATATCGTCGAAGCGGAAGCGGTCTCCTCTCYGGAACCGACACATAAAGGAAGCCGCAAAGGCAACAACAAACAGTTCAAAAAGAAACAACAACACCAGTCACAATACGGAGGCGGGAAGAAGTACTCATCCTACACCTCAAAGACGGAAGAACTGAAATACGACACATTCACATTGGGAGGAAATATGGGAAAGAAATGGATGACCAGCAGAGAAGCCTTTATTAACTACGCCGGATGAACCTATGGAGGAAGTGTTAAAGCATCCCTCCACAAACTGGAACATACCATACTCCATGTGAATAAACGACCAAAGGAACATACCGCAGACCAGTATGCAAAACTTAACCAAATGGAAATCGATATGTGGAAGATGGACTACAGAGAATACAAAGAAGAAACATCGCGAATCCTAAAGAACCTTGTCAAATTATACGACGTCCTATGGGATCAATGTGAACCAGCATTAAAGAACAAGCTCAAAGCACAACCACTATACAACAAACTAATGGAGGAGTCTGACGTAATAGGACTACTCAAGCTGATCGACTACGTATGCAGTGCAAATGATGGAGCCAAATACTATCATCTACAAAGCTTCTATGCACTGCGGAAGCTAATTAACTTCCGACAACGCGACGACCAAGATGTAGCCGACTACTTCAAAGAGTTTGAGATGCTACTTAGAGTAGCAGAACAAGCAGGAGTGAACTTTGCAACTCCGGAACGCTGCAACACAGTGGCAACAGAAACATACAAACAGAAATACGACGTCCTYGGGCCACGACAACAAGAGATGATCATGGAACAAAGCAGGGAACAATTCATCGCCATAATGTTCATGATGAACTCAAACAAAGCCAAGTATGGTAAATACAAAGAAGAGTGTCACAACAGCTTTGCTCAAAGAGATGACAAGTATCCCAAAACACTTGTTGATGCACTGACAGTACTTGAACAGTACCGATTCACACCAGCATTATATCGTGGACAGGACAAAACAAACAAACAAAACAGTAACGACTCACATCAGACCTCCCACAGCTTCTTCCAAGGCAACGACMAAGATGATAAAACAGAGGAAGTGAATAACACTAACGGCAATAAAACAAATAGTARTGCRAATACTATTACATGTTACAACTGTGGTAGAAAAGGCCACATATCAGCRAATTGCACATACACACACAAGGAAACTGGTGAGGAAACACCACGTGAATATCGCCGTCAAAAAGCCATGATAAACAACAAGAAGGATGAAGCAGCTGACCAAGTGGACAAGATAGTAGCAACAGGGACCACGTGTGTGATCACAGATGAAATGATCGATACATGGAGCGACCACTTAACAGCAGACGACTACGATATGTGCCTGCTGACAACAAGTCCAAATAAAGAACCAAAGGAGATCCTAATCGAGGATATCCGGGATAATGACAAAGCAATACTGAACCAAGTTGAAGGGAGACTGAACCCATTTTGGGTGCTGTTGCTGGATAACCAATCAACTGTACATGTATTCTTCAATACAATGTTCCTCCGCAATGTGAGGACCACACATAAGGAATTACACCTCTACACTAACACAGGAAAATCAATTATCAATGAGATYGGTGAGCTTCCAGGACTCGGGACCGTATGGGTTCATCGAAAGGGAATTGCAAATATCCTATCATTCCATGGAGTGCACAAAGCCAAGGGATACCGGATTACATACGATAGCAACAAAGCGGACGCATTTCAAGTGTATCGACCCAACGGGACATACAGGGAATTCATACCATCAAAGAAAGGGTTGTACTATTCCGATTTCTCYRAGATGTTTACACAGTCAAGACGGAAGAGATTGACAGCACCGGAGTCCGCAACCGTACTTCAGAATGAAACAGTTGCAACAATTGCATCTAACAAGGCAAAGTACTCCAAACAAGATGTATACCGTGCGGAAATAGCTCGCGCCTTTCAACATATTGCCGGACACTTGAGTGAAGCACAGATGCTCYRAGTAGCGTCCCAGAACCAACTCCGTAACTGTCCCATAACCACGAGAGACATCCGACTCATGAAAGATATTCTAGGACCGAGTATCCCTGGACTCAAGGGTAAAACAACACGGACAGTAAAACCAGGGGTTCATACTGAAATAGTGCCGGTACCAGCGCACATCAAGGAACATTATCAGGATGTCACTATAGCAATGGACATCATGCACATCAATGGAATACCATTCCTCACTACAACATCTCGACACATCCACTACCACACTGCGAGTGCCCTCGTCACGATGCAGACRAAAAATATAATAAATGCACTAACTGCCCTTCATCAATTCTACCAGAAGCGACATTTCCGAATCAAACATATCCTTGCCRACAATCAATTCCAATCATGCACGCACGAACTTGCAACACTGCAGATHGGGTTAAACTGTGTATCACGTGACGAACACGTCCCGGAGATTGAGCGCCTCAACAGGACAATCAAGGAAAGATGCCGATGTAATGTCCACATGGTTCCCTTCACCAAGATGC